CCCCCACACATTGTCGCACTAGCTTATTAAACCCTGGCCAATCAGTGCCCAAGATCAGGGAGCGCATCAGGCGGGAGCTAACCGCAGCCTTAACACAATGCTTTTTGCCCTTATGTCGAATTTCCACTGGTACTACCGGGTATCTGTGGATATCCCCATGAACACATCTAATGTCCACCCACGATGCTTCTGCCAATGCCCCGGAACGAACCAGGTTCTGATGGATTAAAGACTGCGCACAGCCCGAATCCACCATCGCCTGGTGAATACCCCCTTGAATCCTTACCGGAACGCTGTATGTCCCTCCTGGACCGGGGGAGGGTGTTGGCGGCCCAGCAACCCGAACCACCTGGCCGACCTCCATGAGCGGGCACTCACTGCGGAAGTGACCGGGTTGTCCACACCGCCAACACGCCTGCCCTGACGCCTGAAGAAACCCCCTGTGGGTGGAGATTAGCGTCCGTGGGGGCTGGACTCTGAGAAGGGGAAGGAACAGAGAGAGGATTAGAATAAGGGGGAGGAGAGGGCAGAGTAGGCGTAGGATGCTGGTGAACGGGCCAGGGTGTGGATCTCCGGCAAGGTGCTGGAACCGGCCGAATGGATGACAGGGGCCGCCCCTCTGACGCCTGGTCCCTGGGATGGACAGCCAAATGATCCTCTGCGAGGACAACAGCAGCTGCCACGTCTTTGGGGCGGTGACACCGCACCCATTCTGAGGTCCCAGCCGGAAGCCCCTCCACAAACTTCTCCAACACGATCTGCTCCGTCATCCGACCCTCCCCGGCGGACTCCCCCGTCTGTAGCCACTGGTTTTCTGCATCCCTCAGCTGCTATGCGAAGACAAAGGGGCGGTCTGCAGGGCCCATTTTGGCGGACCAGAAATGACGACAATGATCCTCCGACATGTAGCCCATCCTATCCAGGACGGCTTTCTTCACGTCCGCGAATCTGCCCCGTGATGAAGCCGGAAGACCAAGCGCCGCCGTTTGTGCCTCCCCCGACAGCAAGGGAAACAAGCGCACCGCCCACTCTGCAGCCGGCCAGCCGCATGCCGCCGTGGTCGCCTCAAACATCTCCAGGAAAGCCTGTGGGTCGTCTGCCGACGTCATCTTATGGAGTGTGATGCCGGTCAAGGAGGGAGAAGGAGGGGAGGATGATGCAGCTCCCGACTGGGAGAGCAGGTGCTCCAGCAGCTGGGTCTACCTCCCCGTCTGGGCATGTAGACTCTCCAAATGCCGAGCACTTACTACTGCTTGCTCCCGATGCATCGCTGCAATCTCCCCCAGCATTTGCGCCACCACCGGCTGAAACTGCTGTGGATCCGACATGGTGTGTGCAGCCTCACGTTGGGTGCCAGTATAGCCGTCTCGCTACCTCCGTGGGTCCCCCCCCCCCAGCACAGACACACGAATCGCTGCCGGTCCACAGTCTCTATTTGCCGTACGGCGCAAACCCGGCACAAAACAATAGAAACAACACAAAGCGGTTGCATGTCTGCAGCGGCCCAGCTCCTGCAGCACGCGCTCTCCCGTCGGCGTCTTCTGTCTCCCCAACGCAGGCAGAGATCCTCCTCCTTGGCCTCCTTCCTCTCCTCTCCCGCCAGCACCCTAGTATGTGCACAAGCATATCTACAACTAGCCAGAGCAGCAGCACCTGGACCCATCAACTCACCTGACACTAATCTCCTGAGCTCTGCCCCACACGTCTCTCCCCTGCCTTCTGCCACCAATTACCCCCATCTCCACAGTGGCCATTTTTGAAAAGTGGTGACACTTTGGGAAAGTGGGAGTATTTTTTGAAAGTGGGAAATTACGGAAAGCGGGGACATTTTCGGAAAGTTGAGAGCATATTTGAAAAGTGAAGACATTTTTGGAAATCAAGTTGGGAGCCTGTTTAAAGTGTGGATTTTTTTTTTTTTTGAAAGCGGAGATATTTTTGAAAAATCTGAGAATATATTGGCGAATTAATATATTTTTGGAAAATTAGGAAATTTTGTGTGTACATTTTTGGAAAATCAAGCTTAGTGGCAAACAAAGGCACTACTGTAAAAGTAAAATCAATCATGACCTCTTAGGTTATCATTTGTGATCTATATGTTCATTTTATGTGCATGTGTCTTTGTTGCTATGGAACTATTTCTGTAGGTAGCGTAACTTTCCAGTAGCTCAGCATAATTGTTGAAGAACTGCTTGAGGGTCAAAAGGTTAAGGTTTGAGGCCAACCAGAGAAAATGTGTTTACACACCTAAAAGGTTATTGGTTTATGAAAGAAGGACTCAGCGCATATGTTATGGAAACTGATTCAATTCAATTCAATTTTATTTGTATAGCACCGTTTAAAACATATGTTATCACAGAGCGCGAAAAATAGTAAGGTATACCCTTACAAACTGATAACATGGTTACATTTACATCTATGGATGTTGACCATCACTCCTTCCATCCATTATCTATACACCGCTTAATCCTCACTCGGGTCGCAGGGGGGCTGGAGCCTATCCCAGCTGACTTAGGGCGAAGGCATGGGACACCCTGGACACATCGCCAGTCTATCTGTACTGTTACCACGACGTGTTAGATGCTCTGCGTATGTTAACGTAGACAAACAGCAAGCCAAACTCGTTTTCACAAGCCAGGACCCGAGCGTCTTGCTCCTTTATTACAGTCTCCTTGAGACAGCTTACAAGTCAATATTGTGGCTTGAAAAAGGTTGAGTGAAACTGAAATACATAAAACACAAATGGAAAAATATACCTCAGTTATGAGCATTACAAACAAATACATTGAGAAACAGCCAAAAACAGCCAAAGACAATGCATAAACTTCGCGTAAACTTCACCAAATTGCTATCACCAAAGCTACAGGACAAATTCACACTTGTATCGATCCATTGATATGCCAGTGTGATCGTTAATATGTGTAAATAGCGGTATTCATGCTAATACGGCTCAACACGCTAGCGGAATGCAACGGGCAACGTCTATTTCCTCGTGATAAACACGTACCAAAAGACGATCTCGAACAGAGCCTAAATAATTTAATAAAGGCATACATTCTTATCCTTTAAACAATAAAACACTTCTTGAACTTACAGCCATTGCTTTCGATGGTTTGGGTGAGCTTTGACACACAGGAGCAACTTGAACAGGAGTGGACAGGCTTTTCATTTTCCCTCACTGAGCTTCTTCTACCCACAGTGCATTGCAACACCTTAAAGTTAAACACGTCTAAACAATGCTGACTTTACAAATGCTTTTTACCTTGTACTTTTAACCTGAATTACAAACAATGAATTCTAAAATATTTATCAAACACTATCATGAACTTTTTTAACCTTTTTAATCACACACAATTTGCCGAGGGCAGAACACTATCGCAGGGCTGTACTTAGAGACAAACAACCAAGCACACTCACATTCACACCTACAGACAATTTAGAATCACCAATTAACCTCAAAATGTTTTTAGTCTGTGGAAGGAAGGCGGAGAACCCGTAGAGAACCCACGCTGCACGGGGAGAACATGGAGACTCCACGCAGAAAGATCCCGGGTGTCCACACTGGGACGCAAACTGACGACCTTCTTGTTGCAAGGCCACCTTGCAGCCCCAGTCTATCACAATGAAATAGAATTTTTGTCTCTCTGTTCACTATTAAATGTTTAATATTAAATCTGCCAGCAAAGTGTTTTGTGTTTTCTGAATTTAATTATTGTTGCCAATTTTTTCAAAACTATGTCCATGAGTGTCCTTAAGTACAGTATGTGCGCCTGTGTTTGTCAGTTCAATGTCCTTTCGCTCTTTCTTATTAATCACAAATTACTGACCTTTCATTCTGGCAAGGGACACGCCCTCCTGACTGTCCCAGGAGAGGGGAGGGGGAAGGGCTCTTGTCAGCGTACATGTCTACCATGACCCCCGCCTCCCCTCTCTACTCCTGTTCTGCTACTCTCCATGACACCAACATCCATCACTTCTGGATGCAGGTCGACATCCATCTGCAGTGCATCTTGGCGCTGTGGTGACATGCGGCCCCGCCCCCTAGGTATCACATCACATTCTGATGTAATTTGACATTTAAACCAGAAGCAGAAAGTGGTGAAAGTTTGAGAAACAATTAGAACTTCAATAAAGAAATGACATTGTGGAAAATGGGACATCTGGAAAGTGAGGACAGATTTTCGAAAATGAATAATGTTTGGAAGGCAAGGTGCATGCTATTTGAAACGGACAGGGAGCAACGGATCAGTCTCTCTTTCAGAGCCAAAAATCATTTTTGTAAAATTGAAGACATCAGGAGCAAATGGATCACCCACGTCATCAATCACATCATTTAGATCACTCAGCAGATTAGTGATGTATTACAGACTGAGGGGTTCTTTACTGTTAATGGTGTGGCACAGGTTGATGTTGACTTTTATGCTACAATAATTCAGGTTTTATTGTGCTGAAACAAGAGCAGGCCATCATACAGATATGTTGGGCTCTGGGCTGTGGATCAATGCTTACAACAGAGTCGCACATTAAAAACCAGATCGCTATAGAGTAAACAGTTTACCACTTCTGTGCAATACAAATCCAATACAGTTGAATGTGTTTCATTACAGCGGTGTTGATTGTAGTTTGGGATTTAGACAGCGACCTGTTGCCTCTCACCAAAATTGCTTTGTCATTTGTCATTTTGCACAAAGAGCGGTCACTCATTAAGAATCTGAAAGTGTGAAGGACGAGTTTGATGATTAAATGAAAGCTCCATCATTAACAGAAAATGATTTCTGGTCATAATTCAGAGCTTTAAGATTAGAACAAATTGTGGCACTTTTGTTTTAAAGGTACTAACACAAGTCCTTGGCTGACATTGCTTTACCTGGTCCTCCATATTTTAGAAACCAGACAGCCTCCCTCCCTCTGCTCCAGAACAAGTATCCAATGTTAAATCAAAGAGGAGAATTAATAACAGTCGACAGCGTACCTGTGCTCTTTGTCTGCTACCTGCTGGATGTAAAAAAAAAAAAAAAAAAACTTTATTTAGGTCAGAGCGTCCCCTCTGGTAGCAGAGGATCTTCTGGCTGCTGTTTCTGGAACAGATTGTGTGGGGATTTCAACGGGATGCCTCCAATGCAATAGAGATTAGGCAATTAACCTTGATGTCACTGTAATTATTAAGACACTTTAGCAAAAAATGAATTAATTTCCCAAAAGATGCCAGAAGAAAAGGATGTACTGCTGCTTGGCCTCAGAGAAACAGAGAGCCAGTGGGTAATTAGAAGAAAATAAAGAGTGAGAGATAAAGCAGAGGATTCATCTTTTTACCACAGAGAGCTGTATGGAGTCAGATGAAGCTGTAATCATTGCACTTCGAGGTCAAACGTGCTCACGATCCGTTAACATATGGCTTTCATGTTGGCAAAGGTTGACGTGAAGCTGATTTAAAGGTGAGGCTGACAAACTGAACCAGAAACACTGAACCCTGGATTCACGTCAGTGTCTCTCTGTAGTTTTTAAACACACTAATTCTCTTTATTTGTTCTGCAACACTCTTTGTCACCACCATAATGAAACAAACTAGTCTTAGAGTGGTTGCATACTGCAACTGTGGGACATCTGCAGTAATGAGGACATAAAGATCATCAAATATCTGCACAAACACCTTTACTGATATTAACTACAGATCCACAGCATGTTTTTGAGAGACTCATTTTCCTATTTTCTCTTGCTATGGAAAGTATTAGGATGGTGTTACAATTATTGTGGAAAATCTTGTGATAACAAAATAATGAACGTATCAGGCTTCCTGCTTGGTTATCAATGAAGCACAATGATTATGGATCATATCATTTAAATGAATTTATTTCTCAACTCAAATGTAGAAAATTAAACTTGCCTAAAAAATATGCCCCATGCTTTGTAAAATACATGTTAGAAAAAGCTTATCAATAATAACTACAACCATTGTCATTTCTCATGTAATTCTGTAAATAATTAGAGTTTGAAGATTTTGGAACATTTAAATAATTGTGACATTTAAACTAAAACGAAGAAAAAAGAAAACATTAAAGAAAACATATTTCAGATTCCGCTCTGTTAAAGCAGATTAGTGCAGTGACCATGT